ATTTTTTTTATTTTATTCAAACTAAGTGAGGGGTTAGGTACACATATGTGATATAATTATATAGCCCTATCTGTCCTCTAAAAAACAATATATAATATGTGTGGGTACATTTAGTAAGAAAGTATATTACTGACGTGGAAGAATCACACAGCAAAAATGTAAAAAATGTGTCAGTCATTTATGAACAGAACCTGAAAACTAGCTCAGTCATGAAGGGGTTAAAGGTACAGAAACACACGAAGGATCCCGCACATCCCAATGGCAGCTGAGAGCCCCATGCGTCGCTGCACCAAATCAGTCAAGCAAAACAAACGACAAACGCACTCAGCTGCCAATAGGATGTGCGGGATCCCTTGTGTGTCTCTGTACCTTTAAGGAGGTGGGGCGTCCTCCTGACAGGCCTGCACCCAATTTGATATCTTCTGCCCCCATGTGCTCCAAGATGGAGACTCTCATAGTTTAGAGTTAGGACCGCACTATAAGAGGTGCCTTGGCGCGGCAGTGCGGCTTACACATCCTTTGCAGAAGACGTGTATCCAAACCTCTGTCATTATCGTTAGTGGTGAGACATGTTGTTTTACATGCTGGTTTTGTGAGTGTGCCATGATGCCTTTCTGCTGTTTTACTGTTCAAAGCCCATTTCGTGTGCACCTTACTGTATAACTGGTAACAAATTGTTGAGTGCGTTTGTTGTTTGTTTTGCTTGACCTACAGTAGTAGAGGTCGCACGGCTTCCACACACCTTCCGATAATCGTACGATCGCGGGATTTCCTTAAAGTGACAGTAAACCCTCAGGGTTTTTAACATAAACCAATACTGTAATGTGTGCCTTACTGTAATCCATGGTTGTTTCCCTTCTCTTTGCTGCTCTTGCTTTTAAATCCTCATGTCTTCTCATGCTTGGGGAGAACTTCCCTTTTAAGCTCAGGGCCTCTTCCTGTAGTGCTGGCTCAGATTACAAGCCTATACAAACGGATACACAGACACCGTGTATCTATTCCTGAGACAAGGCAGTCTGCTGCAAAACAGAAGTTCTGCAGAGCATGAGCACAGATACCGATTTAAAAGGAAGAGCAGCAAAGAGAAGGGAAACTACCATGGATTACAGTAAGGCGCACATTACAGTATTGTTTTATGTTAAAAAATCTGAGGGTTTAATGTCACTTTAAGATACAGGTTCAAACTTTCTAGTAAACATTTACTGTACGCATGTAAATGTTGCACAAGCAGCACATATGTACAACAGAGCACGTTTTAGGCAGATTTTGCTGCCAGCCAGATCCTGCATTCAAGTTGCTGTATTCCATACGGTTCTGTGTGTGAGCCCTTGATGTGAACCTTATAGTTTTTCTCACAGATGCTCTGTTCTGGGTGACACCTGAGAGAAGCACACACCATTTACTATCATTACCAGGCTTCTCCCTTGTCTCAGTTCACCATCTGAAGGATCACATCGGCCTTTATTGTGCTCATCTGTTTTCTAAGTCTCAGAAGGCAGATACGACTTTTCACAGGATCATCATATTCATCACTGGAATCCCAATGTAGAACGTTTTCCTATGGGAACTACCAATACCTGCAATCTTCTCACTCCATTTCGGACATAACCTTCCACCACGAGCAATGAGAGTAAATAGTTAATGTCAATAAATTCCATTCAACTGGTCTGTTCTATGTCCCATGCTATGTATAAACTGTCTAGGTCTGTAAGTGTAGGATCCAGTACTCTGGGCTATTTAGTGGTGGTACTTACCGCAGTAGCCCTACCGTCCCATGCTGCTGGCTTTGTGAACTGATCTCATCACCCTCCACTCTTGTATGACATTGGGAGCACCTGGCAGTACTCTCACATATTTAAAGTGACAATAACCTCAGGAGTTAAACCTCAAAAACGCATTTAAGTACCTTAAAGGAGAACTATGAGGTGAGTGCTTTTCACTCACCTCATAGTTCTTGCTGACCTGTGACAATGAGACTGTCACAGGTCGGCTCAGTAGATCGGGAGGTGAGCGAACACATGCCGGCATTCGCTCACCTCTCGATCCTGTCACAGCTCTCTGCCGTGACAAGGGAGGGGCTGGATTCCCCCCGCTCCGATCCGCCAGCGCTGACTGGTGGAACGGACGGGGAGGGGGTGGGTACAGCTGGCTCTGCCTCTAGATAGGCAGAGCCAGCTGTCAGTCAAGCAGCTGGGCGGATCCAGACATAATTGTCGGGATACGCTTCAGCTGCGGCGTCTCAGTATAGCACGAGCCACAGCTCACGATATACTGAGCCTAGGGTGACGGGAGGACACTAGTTTGTGTCCTCCCGTTACCCTAAGGAGAACTATGGGGAAAAGCCTTAACCCCATAGTTCTCCTTTTAACTATTAACAAAAATGTATCACTCTGTAGCTCCTCAAATCATCTCTGAATTGGTGCTGATACTGTCTTTCCTTCCAGGGGGTGGCTACAATTTGTTCCCCCTGGTCCGTGTTGTATCCACTACTCCAAGCTTGCTCCTGTGATGGACTCACGTTTAGTTTACTAATTTGTATTAAGATTGTAGTCCATCATGGGAGTGAGCTTGGAGCATGAGAATGCCTAAACATTTGTAATTGCAACAATTTTCTGCGCAAGTGGCGCATTATCTGTCACAGGAGTGCCAATATTTTTGCCCATGACTGTGCATCTGACACATCTGTGCTAAATATTTCTGTTAGAAGCTTGCAGAAAAATCCATTGTAACAAAAAAAACTGTTTAGACGTGTAATTGACTCACACATACACACACATATGGTATTTAGAG